CCCCCCCCCCCCCCCCCCCTCTCTCTGCCGCTTACTCAAATGTCGAATTTTGATTTTGTCGCAGATACGTGGATGGTTGAATTTGTTGGATTAGGTTGAGGCTCACAGTCGTCGTGTAAGCATGGGATCAGGACAGAAACGATCGTGCTATCGTTTGTTAACGCGCGACACCTCTCTTGTCTATCTCTCAATTTTATTAATTGAAACAATGAATTTGCACATGCGCGCGCGCGCGTATGTGTGTGTGCGTGCAACTAAAATATTACAAATATACACTTTTGTTATTGTCAAATTAAATATTCTAAAAGCATGAGCATCCTTGTGTTGATAGATTTAAATTTTGGATACGTTCCATTAGTAGATTCTTCGAATAATTGATTTAAATAAATCTTTCCGATATGTGTATTCGTACACCATAAATGCGTGGGAAATAAATGATAAATGAATAAAAACCTGTTACACGTTTGGATAAACGCTCACCAACTTTTTTAGCACGTATGTGATTGATAAGGCATTTCTCATTTACCTATTGTAGGCTGCATCATCTCTGTCTTTCTAAAATTGATGCTTTTATATATTTATAATTGCACATCCAACACATATCGCAACGTAAATATATACATATATGTATATATCAATAGTTAAAAATAAAAATTTATTAATTTTCAAGCTGTGTCTTACAATGTCGTAATAGTGTCTTCTAATTAATCACCTCGTAATTAAGAGAGTAGCCACAACGGTTGTATATACCTTTCCTTGGAAATGTGTCAATGTTGAATTTTAGAGATGAAATAAACTTTGTAACCAACTGCTAACGTAAGTAACGAGAATCCATCTTTTCCTGTTTACAGGTGTAATCGTCGAAAATTCGAAAAATGAATTTCACGCCTTTCCCTGGATTTACTGGCTCGTTGCCGACCGGCACTGTTCATCAATTCGCCACAGCGAAATTCGCGCAGAATCTTACCACTGGAGGACAGGTGGTCGGAGTTTTATCCGGTGGTGAAGGTGGAGTTCATTATTTGAGACCAGTCGATCCAAATGGCTTTGCTGTGGCTCAGAGCGGTAATAGTCAACAACAACAAATTATTACTTTGCCTATCACTGTTCCGGGAAAGGATGGTACGCAGCAACAGCAGACTGTCCAAATACAAGTGGTCAATCCTAGCGTGTCTCAAAGCGGAAATAGCGGCGATCAGCCAAAGTATCACTTGGCACCGATATCCCTGAGTCAGTTTCCACAGGGAGCAGCTACCGTTCTCACTGTTGCCTACAGTCAGCAAGGCGCGGATGGTGTTCAAATTCAAGTACAACCGCAAAACACCGTAGCGACTACGCAAACGTAAGTGCATTCAATATTCTATAACTCTCGTATTATGTCACATATTATACATTTTGCACAAATTTTAAAAGCAAAATCTTAGACAAAGTTAAGGTGGAGGGAGGGGGGGGGGAGAACATTTTGCCAATTGTCACTTTAATTCGATTGTCCGATATTCGATTGCAGGTCTGATCAAACGACACAAAGTACGTCTACCGCTGTGACCACTACTTCTCAACAGACTATTCAACAGACGGTACAACTTCCGGGAGCACCCGAAGGTTTGACTGTAGTTGCCCAGATTCCTCAAGACTTGATTCTACGAGAGAGCATAGAGGAGTCCAAGGAGGATGTTAAGGAGGGTACGACACCCGTGGCTCTTATTAAACGAGGCAGTGTCAAGAGTCAAGGTAATCAGAGTGGAGAAGAATTCATTACTTCTATGCCTGCTAGTTGGCAGAGTCTCGCTACTCCAGGATCCACGGTCGCAGATTATCTCTCCAGACTGCCAACAAGTACTTTGCCTCTTAGTTTGCAACATTTTCTCAAGTTTTCGGCGGAAACTATTAAAAGGGAAGCTACCATTGAATCCAGTCCGCTCGGACCGGATGGTCTCGACGCTTCCGGAAGTACAGCGTCGGGAGAGCAAGCTGTGCAGATTACAGTCGCCGGAGGAGAAACGGCCATCATTCCCGACGTTGTCGAAGAACAGGAGCCAGGAGCGAAACCGAAGCGGAAAAAAAAATACAAAAAGAAACCACCGAAACCGAAGAAACCAAAGCCAGGACAAGTGAGCATAGTCACTGCTCTCGATGGCACGACCCTATTTTGCTGCCCTCAATGTAATATGGCGTATCCGGAGAAGGAAAGTTTGGAACAGCATTTGATTGGACATAAAATAGAGAGGAGATTTATATGCGACATTTGCGGCGCTGGTCTTAAACGAAAGGAACATTTGGAGCGGCACAAATTAGGCCATAATCCTGATAGGCCTTTCATTTGTTCCGTTTGCATGAAGGGCTTTAAACGAAAAGAGCACTTGAATCTTCATTTTGTTATACATTCTGGGCAAAAGACCGAAGTTTGCACCGAATGCGGCAAAGCATTCTATCGGAAAGACCACCTTAGAAAGCACGCGAGATCTCACCTTACTAAGCGTGCCAAGGAGGATCCATTGAATACGACGAACGATACGACGCAGAATCAACAACAGGCGGACCAACAACAAGTGGAACAAATACAACAACAGTCGTCGGTGCCCGAATTGCAGCAAATTCAGATTCAAGTAGGACAAGGATCCCAAGCGCAGATTCATCAGATATCGGTTAATGAACAGTCTACCGTAGTTTTGCCTACAGCGGCTGAAACTGGAGCTATGACGATGCTTC